CTCCTCCTCCTCCTCTCCTCCTCTCCTTCTTCTCCTCCTCCTCCTCCTCCTCCTCCTACTTCTTCTTCTTCCTCCTCCTCCTCCTCCTCCTCTTCCTCTTCTGCTGTGTCCTTGAAACGTTTTCTGATCTCTTGGATCTCACTTCTCTACATGTCTTTTCGAAGTATTGAGGCATGGTTGTGATATTTTCAATTTTAGGGTATAACTTATAGAAGTTAGAAAAAGGCAGAGTTAAATATTCACTAGCTTTAAAAAATTAAGATGGCTATTTACGCTTGCACTCTGAATTCTGAGTTTATTTAGTGACTGAAGTACAAATAATAATTTAGTAAATCTGAGTTTCCAGAATTGGGATAATTTTATTTATACTTTTGGCATAATGTAGTACTCCACAGTGGGACCTTGCTCATATTTCTTGATTGTAGGTTCATTTCCACCTAAAGATTGCCTTGGGTAATTAGAGAACCTTCAGAGTGGGATGTTTGATCACATTTCCAGGTATTCTAGTACAGTGTACTGCTTGCTCAGAAAACAATCTCATTTATGTATAGTACAAACATGCAATGATGATAATGGTGTTGGGGGATGAGGCAGGCGCTGTTTATAACAGGGCATCTCACTTACCCTGTATAGCCAAAGCTTGCACTTATTTACTTTAATTTATGAGCTGTCATCTCAAATACCAATTGCCAATCAAATGTCAGTAATTGAATTTGACTTTTCTATTATCATCGTCAAAAAATTTTCAAAATGATGCATTTGGAAATGTAATGACATTTGGTTGTGGTAAAAATTCTATTTTTGTTTCAGGTTGACTTTTCAGTATAGTTTTTGTGTAAAAACATTAATTAATTATGATGTTTTATGTAATGTAGAGTTTTAAAAATTAACCAGTAACATTCATATAAAATACCTATATGATAGAACAAAATCAGCATTTTTTTTCGTTAACTAAATGGCATAATGCATTGTTACAAGGTTCTTTCCCTTTCATGAAAATATTTTAGCTAATGACAAAATGAAAATATTTCTTTAGATCCTACAACACATCAAATCTGATGGAAGATCTGAAGATTTTGTATAGAACGGCTGGTCAACAAGGCAAAGGAATCACTTTTATTTTCACAGACAATGAGATTAAAGATGAGTCATTTTTGGAATATATGAACAATGTTTTATCATCAGGTGAGGTAGGTGCTCACTTATTCTTTGTATGTTTTGTTCCTTCAGATCTCCTGCAACTTAGAGCTCTACATATTTTCTTCTTAATGGCTTGAATAAGTGCTACTGGGGATAGGTATTAAGTGATTAGTATGAAGGATGGCTTTTTCTGTCGGGTTTTTGAAGAATAAAACTCTCCATCAAAAATTGGAGCTAAGCATTTAAAACATCAGTGAATGTTCCAAGCAACAAATGAAAAAGCAGAAGAGGGAAGTTAGAAAGAAAGCTAATATTTTTGGCGTGTCCATTTACTCCCTTCCAGGGCTACAACTTTGCAGTTAATAGTAGAATCATTTGTGTATTTTAAAACTTGGTGTATTTCATCTTGAAAACTTTTAGGTAATTTTCTATAGGTGAGTTCAAGAACACTAATGGAGAAAAGACTTTCTATATATTAAGCTCTACATTTTGATCTATTTTCATATGTGTGTACCGAATTTGCATGCCTGTACTTCTTTTCAAGGTCTCTAACCTATTTGCTCGAGATGAAATTGATGAAATTAATAGCGACTTGATGTCAGTCATGAAAAAAGAATTCCCCAGGTGCCCTCCTACCAATGAGAACCTGCATGACTACTTCATGAGTCGGGTCCGACAGAACCTTCATATTGTGCTCTGCTTCTCACCAGTGGGGGAGAAATTTCGAAACAGAGCTTTGAAGTTTCCTGCCCTCATTTCAGGATGCACGATTGACTGGTTCAGCCGATGGCCTAAAGATGCTTTAGTTGCTGGTTAGTATGGTGGAAATATTTATGAAAGGGCTTTTGGTTTACAATGTTTACTTAATTATTTACATTCTCTGCTGTTTGCTGTCTCTGCATTGAATTGAGCTAACTCACTCTGTCCAACACTTGAGGATTTCTGTTATAAAATGATGCTCTCTCTTGTTTGGTAGCTAATTTTTCCCAGAGTGTGGTTTTCAGAGAATGACATCCTCGGTCTGTATCCCTTTGGGTTAATGTTCAAGGATTCTAGTTTTTTCAGGGATGCTGGAGGGCTCTTCCTCAGTTGGATCCCCAGGAAGGCTCCAGGATGTCAGAGAAAGGCACAGAGGTTTTAATCTCATGGACAGAGTTTGTGTTCTTTTTAAGTAGGTTTGTCAGCCTAAGAGTAGTTAAAGCCTACAGTCTCTTAGCCATTTCCTTCTCAAGGCTGCAGTGCTGAGAACCAAAGAGGAAAACAGTATCCAGCGATTCGCTACTGGTTTCTGTCCTTGACAAAAGACATTAACCAGCGTGGTCTCTGACCAGGGTTCTCACTGCTTCTGCTTCTTTCTAATTTCCCATGCTGTGGAGCATTAGTGCTTCCTTACTCTGCAAATGAAACTGGAACATAAAAGTAGTAGAGGAGAGGTTAGAGAGCATACAATTAGCTTTTTTTCTTTTTTAGAGCTTTTGGTGAGAAATTATCTGTTGATATTTTAAAAGATACAGTTACTCAGGTCTCACCCCTGACCTGTTATATCAGAACATCAGGAGAACCCCAATTCATGGCAGTAGTTTTCAAACTTTTAAGAATGTTTTATGCAGAAGAGCCTTATTTCTCAGTAATACCTTACAAGTAGTTTTAGTATATAAAACAAGGAAAAGTAGATGGGGGTGAGGGGAGGAAGTATTCTGGAGTCTCACCCTCTAACTCCCCACTTCTGCCGCCCTCACCACTGCCTCTTCAGCTCTATAGTACCCTGTCTGAGAATGACTGATTAACCCGTCTCTTGCCCTTTAGAGAAGGAAAAACTGAGGATCATCAAGTTGAGGGGCCGCCATAGGTGGAAAAAGTTAGTAGGATCAGTACTGAGACTGAAGCCTAGGTTATCTATCTATCTACCATCTATCTGTATTATCTATCTATCTAAATATCTATCTATCCATCTGTTATCTATCCATCCATCCATCGGTCCATCATCTATCTATCATCTATCAATTACCTGTTTTAAAAACAAATTCTTATCTTCTGGGGAAATTTTATTCTCAGCACATCACTATTGACAAAAATGGTTTTCTAACCTGTGGCTTTTAAACACAGAATATTTTAACATTTTTGTAATATAAATGTACAGTACAGTTCTGTCTTTTGTTTTGTAAAGTCTGAGTAAAGACCAGTGATTTAAAATTTAAAGTCCTATAAAAATGTAACTATAACTGGAGGTATGATTTTAAAACTCAAGTAGGATATACATGCAGAGCATAGATCAAGAGTATTTCAGAGCTATATTAAAGTTTATTATGAAATGCAGTTATCAATATGCAAATATTTCATAAAATACTCTGTAAGGTGTTATCATTAACAATAAAAGTAACAATTTCAGGTGACAAATACTGTAATATGCCATAATTAAGATGATTTAAATATGAAGCTTTTTTTGTTAAGTTCGTATTTCAGTCATCTCTTCTTTTGTAAGACAAAGGTCTTATTAAATTAACAAAGGTCCTTCCTTTGTTAATTTCTTATTGTCCCGTTCTTTTAAATCTTATCACACCAACCCAAACCAAGATTACGTAAAGGACAGGGTTACTTTCCTTTCTTTATCCTCAGTCCCTAGCAAATATTCTGAACTTCATGCATGAATGTATTTGTTTGTTCATTCAAAACGCATGTATTGAGCTTCATGTTATTGGATAGACTCAAGACAAGACAGACTCATCAACAGATGCGTGAGAGACTCAATTCTATACTCCAGAGCTTCTTCCCAGGAAAGCTCGTCCACAGCCTCCTGTATAATATGTGCCATCAATTTTTTATCTCCAGTCTAGTCTGTCTCCTGGCTTGAAATCTGCGTATTCAGCTGCCTGCCTGATCCATTCTTATGGATGCTTCATAAAAGTAGTAGAGGAGAGGTTAGGGAGCATACATTTAGCTTTTTGTTTTTTGAAGCTTTTGGTGAGAAATTATCTGTTGATATTTTAAAAGCTGCAGATACTCAGGTCTCATCCCTGACCTATTACATCAGAACATCAGGAGAACCCCTTAAACTCAAAACATCTGAAACTGAAGTGGTTCTCCTCTGGTCTCCCTCTTTCAGGAAGAGCTATCACGCTTATCAAACTAGACAACATGAGACCTCTTTGTCATCAACACCTCCCCTTTCTTCAGCTCTGAAGTCATATCCATCACCAAGTCATCTCCCTTTCATTGACATCCTAGGCCAAGCTATCATTTTGGCTCCCCTGGAAAACCCAAATGACTTTCTAATGCTCTCCTCACCTCTTTCACCTGACTCCTATCCATCTCACATAGCAGACAGAATAATGGTAAAAACACAAATACAGTCGCATTGATCTCTGCTTAAAACCTTCCACATCTTTCCATTGTTCCTAGGAAAAAGCATAGCCTTTGGTATGGCCTTCATTCTGGGAAGAGCTGACCCTACCTACCTCCCCAGCCTCCCCTGAGGTTCTTTTTCCTTCCTGCTCTGTTTCCCTGGATTCTTGAATATGCTTTTGTTGTGGTTGTTGTTCCATGCAGTGCTCTCGTCCTCCCATTTCTCCCCAGCCACTCCTCCTTTGTCCAGATAATGCTGGCTCAGCTAAATGTCATCTCTTCAGGAAAGTCGTCCTTTGCTTCGCTCTGTTTCCCCACTAAGCCAGATCCCCTGTTATCCCTTCCATTGCACTCTGTGCTTTTCCTCCTTGGGACTAACCACAGTTGGTAATTTATGTGCTGAGTTGTGTTATTTATTTGATTAATGCTTACTAGACTAAAAACTAAATTAATGTCCTGCTAGACTAAAAACTCTCATGAGGTCAAAAGTTACACAGCCTTTGTTCACAGTTTCAACAGCTACTGGAGTTTGATATTTACGACGTTGAATGAACGGATCAGACTGTGTAAGATTCATCATCCTTCCATAATATGGGCCTGACTCACTTGCAGTCTTCTCTAGTTCAACACAAACCTCTTTTTTCCCCCTTCAGATATACCTCTTTGCCCTCTGACATGTTTTAATCATCCTCATCTTTTCACACAAGTCCCCCTATCAAGAATATTCTTCTCCATCCTTTTTATTTGTGCCAGTTCCAAGGCTTAATCAAGATACATCACATCCTTCAATCCTCCCCTGTTCACTTAGGAATATTTGAAATTTTCCCATTTTCTTGAACCTCCTGTAACACGCATTACGTAATTTACCTGCACATTTAAATGTTTTTAAACCTTTTGATAACCAGTAAGTCTTTGTGGGTATGGCTCCAATTTAGTCTATTTACAGCCTGCATACTATATAAATATTTAGTACCATGCTAGCCATCATAATGGATAAAATAATTAAAAGACATAAAACATGGTTTCTTCGGTAAATAGAAAATCTTATTGGGAAAACTAATGTTTCCACACTCAATAATAACCAGTATTAACCTGCCTAATGTTATCCTGAAAGAACACCATCTGTGAGTATTAGAAGTCCTTATACACTTAGGGATCTAGTGTTATTTACTGTTTTTATAAAATTAGCAACAAGATTTCTAGAAAAACTATTATTTTAGTTGCCTTAAGGATATTGATTCTGAATTAAATTATTATCTCCAGCTGCATCCAGAAACAAATATATAAATTGTTTGTGTTAGCATTTCATTTAGATCATAAGAAATCTTTCCAATAAAGTAAAAGTATTACATTATTATATGTTTTCCTAATTTAAAGACACGCCTGAGGCTAATAGTGGATTTTGTAGTATTTTAATAATTTTTAAATACCTTTGAAAAAAAGTGAGTTTTTTATGTGTATGAATTTAAATGGACTGAATCTGTTGACGAATCATTTAAAGGAAACTATGCTTTACTTTGTGTTGTAAAATCCCTGGAGATAGCCCCAAAACTGGCATTGCTGCCTTGATGATGAGATATTGAAGATGACAGAAGGGTTTTCTGGCATCTTGACCTCTTGACTGAATCTCAGCAGGCATGGGTCACTTGAAGAGGGAGTGTTCTGCTTCTTTCTGTAACCTTTCCTGCACCAGAGATCCTGGGTCTGTGGAGAAATATGCTTAGAATCCATCCTGTTTTTATTCTCTTTGACTTTTTGGAGAGACAGAAAGGCAATTTGTTATGTAAAGAGTAAGGTCACCGTTATTGATACCCTCTGTTTACATAAGAAGGAAGAAAATCATTAAATGATAAATACAAGAAGTTTTCACAAGATGGGTACTTCCCCGAGAATATCCCATAATGCCAAGTAATGCATTTAGCATTGCGCCTGGCACGTGGTAGATATCATAGCCACTGTGGTTAACACCTACACAAAATGTGTCATAAGTATGAATTTTTCTTATGTTTCCAGTGCCTGGACTTGAACTTCTTAGAGTTTAAATTGTTCTGTGTACTGGTTTGTTAACTAATATGAGAAAATGTGACTTTTGATTATCTTAATTATTACTTTTCAGTGTATGGTAAGCTGTTTTTGTCACCAAGCTGCTGAATTGTCTCTATTATTTACATATATATAAATACTGCCCCAGCATAACAGCATTAAGAACTTTATTTAGTAACAGTACTGATGGTGATAGATACTATTTTTATGTCATTGCCTTGTTAAAGCTTGCTTACTTGATTCCTTTCATTTCTCTTCCATTTTTATTGACTATATTTCTCTTTACAATACTCATATACATAGGCTGTTTCTTCTGAGATACATACAAATGGTTGTGATCATTTTAACTGCATTATGTGTGACTCTTGTGAATTACTTGGGGTTGAGACCAAGTTTCATGTTCCTCTTTCATTCCATGGTGCCCATCACAGTGGAGGCTCTGCAGCAGGCATTCAGTGCATGTGGTGATTGATGGGCCTCCTTGGTGCTACGGCCTATTCACACAGCAAGGAAGGCTGTTGTAGAATTGGTCCCCCATTTGGGACTGTGGGGAAGGTAAAGGTCTTCAACAGCAGATTTTTACCTAAGCATGATAAAAGAATGCTACAAATTACAGCTGACCACAAATGACCAGCTCAACATTTAAGAACAAGATGACTCTGGCATAAAAAAATTTAGTGATGAACATTTCCACATGCCAAATGCAGTCAGAGCCAGAGGCAGTAAGGGTATGACAGGTTCTGAGTGACAAAATAAATGACACTGTTAAATATGAGTACCAGGTGGGCACTGATTTCTGAGTTATTTGTACCATTTGTCCTTATGTAAACCATAAAATAGGTTGGCTGCTGACCAGAACCTGCAGCTGTGTAGAAGAGACATCTCTGTACAAGCACTAGACAACAAAGAGTGATGATAGACTTAAAGTTTCTTTTTATAGTTTTATACATAAAACAGAAAATAAAATTGTTGCTGTTATAGGCCTGGGGCCACAAATGCTGACATAGATCTGCCTAGCTGGGGCTACCAAAATGGCATGCATTCCTAAGTTTTAGAAATAAACAGTTAGCTTTTAAAAGGGTAACTTACATTCATATTTCACACACTGTCATCTTTATTGTCTCTAGTGTCTGAACACTTACTCGCTTCCTATGATATTGACTGCACTTTGGAAGTCAAGAAGGAGGTGGTCCAATGCATGGGCTCCTTCCAGGATGGGGTGGCCGAGAAGTGTGTTGATTATTTCCAGAGATTCCGACGTTCTACCCATGTGACGCCCAAATCATACCTCTCCTTTATTCAGAGTTATAAGTTCATATATGAAGAAAAGCATGTGGAGGTGCAGACCCTGGCCAACAGGTAAGTGTGATATTCATACCCAAAGCTATATTAAAGCCGTGGCTCTTAATCAGAGACAGACTTGCCCCAGTGGATATTTTGCAATGACCAGAGACATTTTTATCTGTCACAACTGGGGCAGCAGGGCAGGGAAGGGGTACTGCTGGAATGTGGTCAGCAGAGGCTTAGGGATGCTGCTAAACTTCTTGCAGTGCTCAGAACAGCCCACTGCTGGGTCTGACCCAGCGACAGATGAACAAATGCACTCAGACACAGATATCCAGTGAAAGAGCCGGCTAGGGGACCAGGCCACTCACAGACACCGAGGAGGGTACTGTAAAGAGTCAGCAGCCATAGCCCCCTAATGACAAAGACCTAAAGCAAACACCATGTGTGGGTAATTAACATTGCTGACTCCCCAAGTAGGGAGCAGCTATGCACCTGTGGAAGATCAAAGATCGGTCTTAGGACCACATGGCTAAACAAGCTCTTTAGATTAAACTCCCCTGCATTCCCTTGTTATCTGCTCTATGCTCTTAGCTCAAGGTAAGGGGATTAGGCTGTCTTCAGCCATAAAATGCTCCCAAGGCTTTTGCAAAAACCTCTTGGCCTTCCAAGAAGGTTTGCCTCCTTTTCCTACAATTTCTCCCACCATCCTGACTGAACTACAGGCCCCCGCAACAAAGAATTATCCAGCCCTAAAGTGTCTGTGGTGCTGAGATTGGGAAACCCTCCTTTAGAGCCTATTGACCATTCCTTGGTTCCTAGGGCTTTATTTGCTGCCCGGGATAAACGATTGCCAGGTTTTTAGGTGGCCTGCTGCTTTCTATAATATTGAGTGACATCAGGATAGAAATAATAGAGCTGGAAGGGAGTTGAGAATGCAGACATCCCTTCTTTCCTCTTTCTTCTTCTCACCCTTCTCTTCCCATCCCTTCTGTTTGACTGAGCAGGAAAAGTCAGGTCGATGCATATATTCACTGCCTAAGGAGTACCCCTGCTTCTCTGAAGTTTCTTCCAAATGCCACTGCTCTGCCCTGTGCTTTTCTGAGCAATCAGATCATCTGCCTGAGCATGACCAGAATCAGCCAGGGCAAGGAATCCCTAAGTGGGTGATTACACGAAATGACTCTGAGGGTTCCCATCTCTATAAGATCATGTTACTTCCGGTTCAGGCAGGCAGCTAGTTCCTCCCTACAGCCATTCTGATGGCTTTAAATTTGTTTCTTTTTTTAGGCCCACATCGTTCTTCTTTTAAGTTCATTGACCTTTTTTGAAAAACAGGCATTATTTTTCTTCCTCTGATAGGGCTTCATGCATTTGAAGTCTATTGTCATTTAGCCTAATGTCGTTAAATACGTTTCCTACATGATACAGATTCTAGCCTCACTGTTGTTCCTAATTTCACGGTGCATGTTCTGGCAGGTTCACAGTTCTTACACATGTGTTCTGTGAAGAACATACATGTTATCAGTCTACAGTCAAGCCTGGATCTATATCCTTTTTGCTAAGGCCTCTTGGGTTTGCTACTTGCATACATGCAATCTTCAGATGGGACCATTCCCACTCATTAGTGGACCAGTACTTGAAAATTGCCTCCAAGTCCCACACATTTTAACATTGCTTGTTTGGATTTTCAATCCCAGAATGAATACTGGATTGGAAAAGCTCAAAGAAGCTTCAGAGTCTGTTGCAGCCTTGAGCAAAGAACTGGAAGTGAAGGAAAAGGAACTACAAGTAGCCAACGATAAAGCCGACATGGTGGGTGAGCATTTACACATGTACCATATTCCTTTTGAAATCCTAGTTCACAAGTGTTGATGATTTATGCATATCTCATGGCTATAACTATGGAAGTATGCATTAATTCCCATTGGAATAAAATATTCTTAATTTTATGTGTAAAATACTGGGTAAGCGGACAAAATCAACAAATCAAGGTAAAAATGTACATTTTCAGCTAGTCTTTAATACTTTTTGATGAAGTATTTTTTGCTTTATATTGAATTAGGTCTTAAAAGAAGTGACAATGAAAGCGCAGGCTGCTGAAAAGGTCAAGGCTGAGGTACAGAAGGTCAAGGACAGGGCCCAGGCCATTGTGGACAGCATCTCTAAAGACAAAGCCATTGCTGAAGAAAAACTGGAAGCAGCAAAACCAGCTTTAGAAGAGGCAGAAGCTGCATTGCAGGTGCATCTTTGTGATATACCAGATGTCAGCTTTAGAGCCTAAGAGGCAGACTAAGGCTGAAAAGTTTAATAACAACAAGGAAACGCTGTGCTGGTTCAGACCAAAGCTCTATCCACTGGAGTGATTTCAAGTAATATTTTCTGCTTGAGACTTTATTAGCTCTTTATAGGTTTTGCATATTCTACTTAACATCTCACTCTCTTCACTCATGCATGACGGGCAGTGCCATATACTGGTGGCCAAGAGTTCTGGGTCCTCATTTCAACTCTGTCATCAATAAGCTATATAATATTGAAAAAGTCACATCAACTTTCTAAGGCAACATTCCCTTACTCATTCATTGAGGCCATTGGAGTAGGTCATCTGTAAGATACAACATTCTATCTATAAATTACCCAAATAAAGAACTACAGATCTGATGTAGCTCATTAATGAGTGCATTTGAGCAGGCTTCCAACACAACTAAACAGTACAATTGCATATTAGTCTGTGTTCACACTGCTATAAAGATACTAGCAGAGACTGGATAATTTAGACACAAAAGATGTTTAATTGACTCACATTTCTGTATGGCTGGGGAGGCCTCAGGAAACTTACAATCATGGCAGAAGGTAAACGGGAAGCAGGAACCTTCTTTACAAGACGGCAGGAGAGAGAGCAGGGGAAACTGCCACTTTTAAACCATCAGATCTCCTGAGAATTCACCCATTATGATGAGAACAGCATGGGGGAAACTGCCTCCATGATCCAGTCACCTTCCACCAGGTCCCTCCCTTGAGATGTGATTACCATGTGAGATGAGATTTGGGTGGGGACACAGAGCCAAACCATATAAAATTGTGTGGCAATACACTAATGGCAAAATTACAAAGGAGGTTGGATTTTGAGAAAATGAAATGTTTAATGAACTAGGCCACAGCTTAAAAGGCTGGTCGAGTTTTGAAGACTCACTTATTACTAAGAAAGTTCCAGGTATTTACAAACTCTAACATTTTGACATCAAGTTACATAAATCTATACAACAAAGTGACAAACCTTACTTGGGCAAAGAATGTGTTTCTTCCTGTTTCGATATTAATCTGACTTTAACCAGCTCAGAGCAAAAACAAAAAATACCTCCAGATGTTAGACAACTGTTCTATTGCCACAGCATATAGGAGATTATATAACAGTCATATTTCTTGGCCTGCAGAAAAAAAAAGAATTTAATGTTTAGGTGAAACAGGTTGAGTTTCTGTCCCCACTTCAACTTCTTTTACCCGGATATCTAACAAAGCTGAACACCATTCAGTTTGAAAATTATTTTTAAAGCTGAAGTAAAATAAGCATACCTAGCCCTTACATTTTATATAACTTTAATTTGACCCTACCTACTTTTTCCACTGGCTCCTGTTCCATTTTTCTCTTTTCTTTTATAGCTATGCGCCTCAAATAAAGATCTATCTGCCATTTCCAGTTCTCTCCCACACGTTAGCCCTAACTTCCAGCTGTCTGGCTTTCATAAATGCTAGTATTAATATGTTAAAACAGGCCAGGCATAGTGGCTCACTCCTGTAATCCCAGTACTTTGTGAGGCCGAGGTGGGCAGATCACTTGATGTCGGGAGTTTGAGACCAGCTTGGCCAACATGGTGAAACCCTGTCTCTACTTTAAAAAAAAATTAGCTGGGCATGGTGACATATGCCTGTAGTCCCAGCTACTCAGGAAGCTGAGGCATGAGCATCACTTGAACCCAGAAGGAGGAGGTTGCAGTGAGCCGAGTTCACACCACTGCACTCCAGCCTGGGTGACAGAGTGGACTTAGGTCTCAAAATAAAAAAGAAGAAAAACAGAACTATACACACACACACACACACACACACACACACACACAATCCTTTTCAAGGTATGTAGTTACATTCCTAATTTACCAAGTTTAGTGTTTTTTCTTTTTTCTTCAGTCCTGGAGAACAGATCATTCACTTTTATGACAAAGTCATTGGTTACCATCTTTTGATAGAAAAGAGGCAAATACAAACCAGATAAATGTTTTGAAGATCTGGAAGGAAAGAATATGTACTACTTGTCCTAGAGATAGGGCTGTTTCCAATTTTTACATTTTTTCAATACTTATTCCATAGTGAGTTTTAGGTGATTGAGCAGTTATTATCAACCAAAACAGGTGTACACGACTATTAAATAAACTACTTTATAAGAGTATCTGTACTAGAAATGGAATGGAACTTTTCTAAGACAGAGCTTGTAAAATTCATATTGCTCAAGTCCTTTCATTTAAAGGTTGGTTCCCAGCTAAGAAACCTCTAATTATTCAATCTGTCAGCCCTGCAGCTACCCTCTGGTGTCAGTCCACAGTGACGAGTCTGAGTTGTTGAAGAGAGGCAGGCAGATTCTTGACCTACATAGCTAATGAGTAAAAAAGCACTGCAAATACTGCAGTTTTCCTGGTTTTGAACCTCAAAATCTACTTATGTGCTGAGTATTCTTTTTTTTTCAGATTATGCCTTTCTTTTTTCTGGCACAGAGCCATCTGTGCACTTTTAGAGAAGTCACAGCTCCGTGTCTGCTTGCCAACATTTCTTTCCTCTCACTGCTAGTTTGAATAGTAGAAATTTGAAGTCGTTGGGACATGGTGTTTCTTTGGGATTAAATATGCATCTAGACCTCATGGCTCTGCATCTAACTTGAAACAGTTTTCTGTCCTCTGTTGAAATAGTAGCATTTGGACATGCAAGGTTTGCTTGTTTTTGCTTTCCTGTCTGAGTTTGGGTGATCCTTCCTTTCATCCCCCAGACCATCAAGCCTTCGGACATCGCCACGGTCCGCACCTTGGGCCGCCCCCCTCACCTCATCATGCGGATCATGGATTGTGTACTGCTCCTGTTTCAAAGGAAAGTCAATGCTGTGAAAATTGACCTGGAAAAAAGCTGTACCATGCCCTCTTGGCAGGAATCCTTAAAACTGATGACGGCAGGGAACTTTTTACAGAACTTACAGGTTGGTAGTTCAGTGGTGATGGGCTAAGAGGGAACTCATTCTTCACTGGTGTATGAGTCCTTTGGTAGAATAAGTTTCCAAAAAGAATTCACTCTACATACTTGTTTTTTTCACAGTAAAACCTTCTCTTTCAAATATAAGTCATTGTAAGCATTAGTTTTTTCTGACCGATTTTAGTTGTATTAAAGCATCATCAGTGTTACGTATACTTCAATAAAAGTTAAAAAAATCATTTTAAGAAAACGGTGAGTATGTATATGTATTATAGTCATACAAATACAAATGTATACAAGTATTTGCATTTTGCAATTCTCAGTAGTAATTAATTTACATCTTTTTTATTTTATGAGATAAAACTTAACATGAAATAATTGCACAAATTTTAAATGTATAGCCTGATGAATATTTACATATATATGTACCCATTTGTGAACACTGGAAGAAAAATATGTATTTTCAGACCCCAGAAACCTCTCTGGTGCCCCAATCCAGTCAATAACCTTCTTTAAGATAATTGTATTCTTACCTTCATCCAGATAATTTGCTTTGCCTGTTTTGAAATTTGCATATATGAAATAATATTGTATGAACCCTTTGGTTTTGACTTCTTTCATTCAACATGTCTGTGAAATTCATTCTTATTGTTGCAAATGACAGTCTTTCTTTTTTCGTTGATATATAGTTTCCTAGTATATAAATGTGCAGTAGTGTGTGTGACAAATGTTTTAACAACTGATTCTTCAGGGAGAAAGGAAAAAAAAAAAAGCAAAAAAAAGCTCTGATTTGAAGTTTTGCCATGGTGTAAGTACTCCCATGATGGCGATTGTAAGCTATTAAAATGATGTTGCTGGATCTAGAGTTGGGAAGAGCTGCATGGTAGCCTGCCATTGTGCAGTATTTCCACCGTAGAGATACAATAGTTGTAAATGACGTTAGAAACACAGATGATAGTAAAATGTAGTCTAAGAATTAGAAAGTTATGAGCTTTGACTATATTTTTTGTTTGACATATCATTTATTTAATTCTAAGTTTATATATCTTAATTTTTAATAACGGCTGAGTCTAACGAGCTTGCAGAATTCCTGGAAATTTAGCAATCATTTCTTACAAGCCTGTTTGAACCAGCACCAGTGTGAAACACTACTGTGTGGTTCATTTTGTTTGTCCCTTGTACTGTTGATGAATTTTGGGGTTGGCATTAATTTTGGCTATTATAAATAAAGCTGCTGTGAATATTGGTCATTTGGTGGCTGTAGTGTGCATTTCTGTTGGCTTTATCCTCAGGAGTGGAATTTCTGGAACTTATACACATTTAATCAGTGTTGCTAGGTAGTGCTGAAGAGTTTTCGAAAATGGTGTATCAATATATATAAATGTGTATGTATATATATATATATATATATATATACACCCACCAGTAGTGTATAAGTTGCTCAATATCTTCACCATTTTCTAAATTTAGCTACTCTGATGAGTTTGTAGTGGTGTCTTATTATTGTTGGTTTAATGTGCATTTCCCAACCTTTTCGCAGGCTTATGAGCCTCTGGGGAATTCTTTTGTTAAATGCCTGTTGGGGTTGCTTGTCCGTTTAAATTATTTTATTACTTTGTAGAATTTCCTTAGAGATAAAATATGACGAATTTGTTATTTATATGTTTGCAAATATCTTCTGCTGCTTTCTGGCATTAGTTGTTTCCTTGATTAATGGTGTCTTTTGATAAATAGAAGTTCTTAGGTTTAATGTAATCCAATTTATTAATATTTTCCTTAATAGTGCTTTCTACATTCTGTTTAGGAGATCTTTGCCCACGTCCAAGGCAGATTTCCAGTTTTCTTCTGGAAGCTTTATTGTCTTCTCTTTCATGTTGAACTCTTAAAACAACTAATTGGGAATACCCAGTCCACAGCTATTTCCCAAACTGTACATTCAGCACTATCTATCTTTCAGTTTTCAATTCAGCATCACTCCATTGAGTGCTATGGCCGGATCCTGTGGTGAGATGCATACAACAGCTGTAACAATAAGTAGTTTATGAAACTAGTGGGCCAAACAGACGTGTCCCAGATAATTATAATATGAGACTTTGCCAGTGGACCTGGACTTGGAATGGAATCCTGACAAGTGATTCCAGGTTCCTGACATTTACCTGGTGGCAGAGCCTCTGCTCTTGTACTCTCCCTGCTATTTGTCATTGTCACCACTGACCTTCTATTGCTCTCAGCCATTCATCTGGCTTTTGTTCTGGCTTACAGTTTTTCAAGTCTCTTAATAACCAGTTATGTTAAATGAAGTCTCAGTGAGAGTGTGTTCAACTATACGTTATGTGTTCTCTAAAGGTTTGTGTCACTAAATTATTTAGGTACTAAATTTCTTTCTACTTGGAAAACGTTTAATCATCCTCTTTTAAATGATCAAACACCACTTTTGAAAGATCCAATTTCATCGTTTAGCCAGTCTTCCTTTTCTGATGTAGAAAGGCATTCTTAATTCATTTCTGCTACTATTTAAAAATTTTATCCCACCAGAAGGTAATAATTCTCTCATATTCTTAATAGTTCTGTGATTAAAAATTAATTCATCACCCTTAAAACTTAATGTCCAAGTTATTATCTTCACATTTCAGGTGAGTTTAATAAAACCTCTGTCTGAATGTATTAAGCATTTGGTTGCTGATAAATGCTAAATATATATGTCCTCAGACTGAATAAACCTGTGTGTGTTTGTTTTTCATTGTGGATTTTATGGGTTTGTAATTCAGCTATTTAGGATTAATGACAAAAAATCTTTATTACTTTGGAAATTCTAATAGTCATATTAGTGTTCATGACATAAATAATTTACTCTTTCTCTGGATCTCATGATATTTAGTTAGGGTTGGTATCTTTCCTACAGAAGACAAAGTGTACTCTAACAGACTGGTTTGCTATCATTTCTTACTGTACTTTTACCTTTAGGACTTTTGCCTAATATCTTAAAATAGTGACAAAATATAATGCCCTTCATTCGTGATTGTTCAGTAGTTTCAGTGACATTGAGAACATGATGGAAGTATGACTTCATAGAAAGAAGTGTTTTGACTTTATTTTACTCATTCTTCCATAGCAATTCCCAAAAGACACGATCAATGAAGAGGTGATAGAGTTTTTGAGTCCGTACTTTGAAATGGCTGACTATAACATCGAAACTGCTAAACACGTCTGTGGAAATGTAGCTGGTCTTTGTTCCTGGACGAAAGCCATGGCTTCCTTCTTTTCTATAAACAAAGAAGTGCTGCCTCTGAAGGTAAGCCTCCTAGGCAGACCTGGGTAAAGGTGCCTGAGAAGAGTCTCCAGGTCACCTGGTCTTATCTTTTCACAGGAGCACATTTGCCTTTGGCTTCTTGTCTTAGGGCATTCAGGTCCACGGGGGATCTAGCATAAGAAAGGCCAAGCATGGGATGTTTCTTTTCCCTTCCCCCCCCTCCTCCCCTCCCCTCCCCTTGCCTTCTCTCCTCTTTCCTTCCCTGCCCATCTTCAGAACTGTATGAGCCTGAAAGCATGGATGGACCCTCTACAAGGATATTTTTCGTCTGCAATGTAAACTTGAAAAAAAAAATCCAAAATGCCACCAATTATAGCAAACTGTAGCATAGAATCCTCTGATGATATTTAAGAACTTTATCCAGCGAATCCTATGAGTGAGGTAGGGTCAAGACAGAAAATGCTGAAAGCTGGTCTTGGCTTGGCTTAAGGGATGACATATTCTTCCCTTTTCCATTTCTGTTTCATCTCTTAGGAAAGAGACTGAATATCATCTATTTGTTATTTAATGTAACTTTTTAGACATGCTTTGTGTTTCCTTTGCATAATTGCATCCCTAAGCTTCATTTTTGCATATTCTCCTACCATTAAAAGAGTCAGTCTTCAGAAAATGGAGAGGCAGTGGAGAGCATGTTTTTTGAAAATGGAATACTGATAGCTCAACATCGTATCTCATGGCTAGATTGATTATTTTGCTTTTGTGTGAGTCTCATCTCTCTTAATCTTCAACTACATTCTACTTATACTTTACACAGGAAACTTAACAATCGTGAAACAAGTAATCAAGAGTGGTATAGAGTTGCAGGTCCTATTTTGTTTCTAATTGTTATGATACCAGGACCATGTATTCAGCAATTGAGGCTCTCGAGGTCCTAGGACAGCCTAAAGGAACAAAGAGTCATTTGAGTCAGAGAATTTCCAAGCAAATAATTGATGTCATGCTGTTTGAAGCCATGGATATTGTGACTGTTGAAGACTTCAGCATAGCTCAAACATGGACAATCAAAATATGTACCCCATGAATATGTAAAATTATTTGTTAATAAAAAATAAAGTATCGGAAAAAACAGGACAATCCAATATTGGCTGAATTAGAGCCGTTATATAAAGTGAGAAGTACAGGTCATTCTTTGCACACTTTTACAGTGAGTAACTATGCATAGTGTCTTAAAGAGAACTACAGTTAAGTTCATGATACATAGTTTTCTCTGTTATTGTAGTTATTTTAAGTACATAGCTGAAATCGTTAGACATGGATGTGCTGAACAAGGCTTACATAAGAACAATGAGATCTCTTCCTCTGTGTTCAGTGCCGTCCACATTTCAGCTTTCAGCTCCTCACAAGACAATCTAGGTCCTACAGTAGGAAGTGAAGGGAACATTACCAGAAGTGAGAACCTTTTTACTTGCTCCTAGAACCTGTGCTTTTCTCTCTAAGGTCCTCCTATCTTCTTATAAGTATGTAGCATCTTGGACCACTCAGCTTGTCAGGTTCCTTTTATGTTAGTCAGAAAAATACATGCTGTTACACAGACCCACGTTCACTGTGTAGGTAGGAGTAGAAGAAGAAGTGAGTACGGATTATCACCGGGTGGTTCTGTTGACTATAATAAGAAATACAGACCTAGGCCTTTGACTTCCCTTCTTCCTGGAAAGGTTTCACTTGCACACCCCTGCTTCTTAAATGAGGAGAGGTCAAGGGAATTCCCTAAACTTCCAAGTGGAATCTCTTAAACACTAATTAGTAATGGCCACACTGAGGAGCTGTTATCTTTCATCTTGCAATTCTTATAAATGGGCTAAGTGACTTCTAGTAGTGAATAAATTCAAACAAATATGAATTATAGCAATAGCAATTTAGATTCCATTCAGGTTCCTTATAATGAGATTTCTCCTTGAAAACTTTATGAAAATCATTAGCAGTACATATAAATAGAATGTTATAAAAAAGCAGAACTTAAATATTGAACATGGATAATAACAGTAACAATATCTATTGTTTATTGAACTCATGTGCCAGGGCTAGACTTGAGATTTTACATATGTTATCTTATTTAATCCTCACAAAAAAATCCAAGGAGTTAGTTTTTCAATATTTTAATGAAGAAACTGAAGCTCACAGGGTTTAAGCAACCTGCACAGAGTTCTACAACTTCTAAGTTGAGAAATTAATTGGGTTTGAAGGATTTTGGCTAGCAATTGTTGACAGCTTCATTTAATAAAAATGTTGTTTATTTATTGGTGAGGAAAGTACTAGAAACTGTTCAGAATCTTTGGGTTTGCAATAGTTTGTCATTAGCAGGTGAATTTAAGTTGTAAGTTGCTTGACATGGTGACCTTACTTGTTCCTTCCATGTTTGAGCCATGGCAACAGTTGCAGCTTAGAGCAGAGCTGAGGAAAAAATGTTCCACCAGTCAGGTTCTTTTTAAATTGTAACTTTTAAGCCATGCTTTTGCCCATCACTGCATCTAGTCAATTATGAAACTTTTGAGTTTTTCCTTAAAGTTTTATTCTGCCAAAATTTGGAAGCCTGAAGTTTTGAGATAGGAAAAGGATTTATCTCAAAAATGTTTTAAAAATAATCTGTTCTTAAATACTTCAGAAAGAATATACCTCCTAGTAATGGATCATCCCATGAAAGTCAATATTAGCTTTCTGTAAATTTAAAAGGGAAAAATTTGGTTTCAAAAAATGTTTTTAAAGGATCTACATTTCTTAAGCATGAACTGTTTATTTTACATCTCATCTTTTGCTAATATGCTTTTGGTTAAGTTTTTGAGTCTATCTTTATAGCTTCTTTAAAACAAATATTCTTAATTAGTCACAGCCCAAGGTGTCAGATGTGCTTTCCAGAAGGCAAGAAATATATTAAAACGACAGGAACGATGTCAAGACCACCATGATACACAAAACCTAGATATTTATATTCAGTAAATAATTATTTTCCATCCTTTATTACTTTTTAATATGATGAGCCCTGCTAGGCAGATAGTTTTAAATATGTTTTTTTCTGTAACTTGTAATATTATAATGTTTTATAATTTGTCTGTATACATTAATATTACAGTCTGCTCTAGGAAGACTATGATCCATGGGCCAAATCTAGCCCACCACCTTTATTTGGATGGCTTGTGAAATAAAAATGCTTTCTATATGTTTAAATAGTTTTTGAAGAAGTACATAAACAATAGTTTCAATTTTGCCTCTTGGCCCAAAATACTTACTATCTGGCACTTTAAAGATATATTTGCTGACGAATTTTCTAATGAATTGTAACTTTCTGCTTATACACATTTATGTCAGGTTCACATTAAGATTTGTTCTGGACTTAATGTGATTTGAAAGGATTCTGGAGCTGAAACAAAGAAAAGGTATAAACACACGGTGTAGCTGAGTTCTCAGACCCTAAAAGGCAGAACGTTTTGAGGTTGGCTACCCAGGTCTTCACTCTGTGCATGTCCTGTGCAGGCCAACTTGGTGGTGCAGGAGAATCGCCATGTCCTGGCCATGCAGGATCTGCAGAAAGCCCAGGCCGAGCTGGACGACAAGCAGGCGGAACTTGACGTGGTGCAGGCTGAGTATGAACAGGCCATGACTGAAAAACAGGTAACATGTCCTTTGTCATGGCAGGGACTGTCACACATCTACATGGCTATCATAGGCCCTCATTCGTTTTCTACTTTATTTCTGTGAGAGTTTGGGTTCCTGTGGGGATTCACTGAATTTATGCATAATGCATACATAGCACATAATGGACACCAAGGGTCTTTGGTGAGATGACAGGATAGTCAGTCAAGATGGCAGTCAGCACTGGAACATAGCCATTCTAAGTGTCTTTATTAGTGGAGATGGTAATGATGACGACATCTTGTGTAGTAGCATTTTTGTTATGTTTTTCAAATCATATCCTCCCATTTTATCTCATTTAATCTTCGAAATAATTTGCAAGGTAGGCAGGGTGGATTTTTATTCTCTTAAGACAAGGTCTTGCTCTGTCTTTCAGGCTGGAGTGCAGTGGCATGGTCACGGCTCACTGCAGCCTCGAACTTCTGGGCTCAAGTGATCCTTCCACAGCCTCCCAAGTAGCTGGGAATACAGGCATGCACCACTATGCCTAGCTAAATGTTTGTAGAGACAAGCTTTGGCCATGTTGCCCAGGCTGGTCTCGAACTCTAGGGCTCAAGCAGTATAAGACCTGCCTTGGCCTCACAAAGGATGGGATTACAGGCATAAGCCAAGCCACCCTAGTGCCTTGCCTATCTTTGTTCTCATTTTAGGACATTCAAATCAAATGCCTAGACATCGGAGGAAACGTACTTGGGTTTCTAAGTCACCAGGATTTTGTCACTTTTTTTCCTCTTACTTTAAATGCATACTATTTTTTTTTTTTTTTTAAATAAAGTGGTTTCCCTAGGCTTAATAAAATCTGTGTCTGCCTCTGATAAATCCTATATTTGGAAAATAATAGCTAGATTCACTCTGTTTTACCTTGATTATTTTATGAAATTCGCCCCTACCCCTTCTCAGCCTTTACTGGGTCTAATTGAAATTGCTGCCTTATTAGTTTTACAGGGGTCCCAATTAAAGAGTTTAGATAAACATTTCAGTTTCACCATATGCAGAATGTATGATATAGTCTCTTAAAGATATGTCTTCTGCAAGCAAAATAAAAGCTTTTGAAAGCTTGAAAGAAGTAGCACTTTTGAAAAATATCTGTTCATGTCCTTTGCCCTCTTTTTAATAAGATTGTTTGCTTTTTTTTTTTCTTGTGAATTTGTTTAAGTTCCTTATAGATCCTGGACATTAGACCTTTTTCAGATTCATATTTTGCAAAAATTTTCTCCCATTCTATAGGCTGTCTCTTCACTCTGTTGATAGTTTAGTTTGCCGTGCGAAAGCTCTTTATTTTAGATCCCATTAGTCAGTTTTTGCTTTTGTTGCAACACTTTTCAAAAAAACATACATGCAGTCAACGATCATATGAAAAAGAGCTCAATATCACTGATCACTAGAGAAATGCAAATCAAAACCACTGTGAGCTGCCATCTCACACCAGTCAAGATGGCTATTACTAAAAAGTCAAAAAACAACAGATGCTGATGAGATTGTGGAGAAAAGAATGCTTATACACTGTTGGTCAGAGTGTAAGTTCATTCAACCATTCTGGAAGATAGTGTGGCAATTCCTCAAAGACTTGGAAACAGAAATAACATTTGGCCCAGTAATCCCATCAATGGATGTATACCCAAAGGAATATAAATCATTCTGTTATAAAGCCACATGGGTGAGTATGTTCATTGCTGCCCTATTCACAATAGCAAAGACATGGAATCAACGTAAATGTTGGTCAATGGTAGACTGGATAAAAAAAATATGGTACATGTACACCATGGAAGGCTATGCAGTTATAAAAAAGAATGAGATTGTGTCCTTTTAGGAACATGAATGGAACCAGAGGTCATTATTGTTAGCAAACTAACACAGGAACAGAAAACCAAATACCACATGTTCTGACTTATAAGTGGGAGCTAAATAATGAGAACACATGGACACATAGAGAGGAACAACACACACTGGAGCCTGTTGGAGGGTGGAGGGTGGGAAGAGGGAAAGGATCAGGAAAAATAACTAACGGGTACTAGGCTTAATACCTGGGTGATGAAATAATTTGCGCAACAAACTCCCATGACACAAGTTTACCTGTGTAACAAACCTGTGCATGACCACTGAACTTAAAATGAAAATTAAATTATACAAAAGAAGTAGCACTTACGTGGGTTTATATACTTATGCTTCATGAAATTCACTTATATATAGAAAAAATTACGGGAGCTTGAAAGAGTCTACTTTGGAAGGAGTGTTAATTTCCACCATTTTGAATGCTCACTTGTATCAGGAAGCTCAACTGAACACAATGAAAATATTTTACCTTCACACTTTATATGTAAATTTTAACATCAATTAATTCAGCAAGTTTTATTGTTTTTGAGCATCTGCTATTTGTTAGGTAAATAATCCTGGGACCATAGAAGAACTGTAAAACTCTGGCTCTAACTTAAACACTTGAATTTTGACAAATGTCCAATTCCTTATTTAAAAAAAAAATCTGGGCATGCCTGCAACTAACTTCTGAACTTGATCTTCAGTCACTTTTGTTGCTCTCCTGCCTCCATAGGACTCCATGAAAGTCCAGGGGTTTGTGGGCCTCCCAGAAGGCAGCAGAAGGGCTTTCAATCTGCAGCTCACGTGGCCCAGGCCTGCATGGCTCACTGAAGGAGTGTGTGTCCTGGCTACGCCCACACAGGACCCAGTGCCTTTGCTTAGGGTTCAGCTTGCCTAGGACTGCTGAAGAGCTAGTCACCTCTCTGGGACCTAAGAGAGTGGGCCTGAGGATGGGGGTACTACTCAGGGAACCCAGTAAGTCCTGTGTGCTCCCCTCAATAGGCTGGGGGGAACACACGGAACTTATGGTTTTCTTTCTCTTGTATTCTCAACATTTATTCCTTTCTCCTCTCCCAAATTGTAATCCCCCAAGGACGCCTGGGCTTCCAGAAAATAAAAGCCAGAGAGGGAGAGGCCTGGCCATTCCCTGATTTGGCTGATGGAATTGGGATTGAAGAATTTAGGGAAAGCAAAACAATATTAAAAGTATCTTACAAATAAGAAGTTTTTTCTAATAAACGATGTAGCATCATACTTCCCAGCTTGCACCCTCCCTCGTGAGGGAAACAGACAAACAGAGGTGGGTGGCTATAGTTGGGGATGTGCCTCTCCGATGGATTGTTACTTTTTTTGCCTTAAGTCTAGAGGAAGAAAATAGATTAGGGCAAAGTGGAATAAATTTCTTGCTTTTGAGAAACACTATATTGTGTTATTACTACAACAGCAATTCATGTCTTTATAGAAAATACAGGTAACCCCAGCAATCCCATTAGTGGATTTATAGCCAAAAGGTTATAAATCATTCTGCTATAAAGACACATGCACACATGTGCTTATTGCAGCACTGTTCTCAATAGCAAAGACTTGGACCAACCCAAATGCCCATCAGTGTTAGACTGGATAAGGAAAATGTGACACATATACACCGTGGGATACTATGCAGCCATAAAAAAGGATGAGTTTATGTCCTTTGCAGGGACATGGATTAAGCTGGAAACCATCATTCTCAGCAAACTAACACAAGAACAGAAAACCAAACACTGCATGTTCTCACTCATAAGTGGGTATGGAATGAGAAAACATGGACACAGGGAGGGGAACATCACACACTGGGGCCTGTCAGAGGATGAGGGGTTAGGGGAGGGAGAGCATTAGAGAAATACCTCATGTAGATGATTGGTTGATGGGTGCAGCAGACTACCATGGCACATGTATACCTATGTCTACACGTGTATCCCAGAACTTAAATTATAATAATTAAAAAAATCCGCACTTAAAAAGAAAGAAAAAAAGAAAAAAACAGAATCACAAAGCAAATGGCCATGCTAGAATTGAAACCCAAGCAGCCTAAACTCATGTTCTTAGCTAACATACCCTGTCTCCCAAAAAGATTTAAAAAAAAAAAAAAGAAAATATAGGTAACCCTGGAGATGAGCAATAATCATATTTTGTTTGTTATTATTCATATCATAATATATGCCTTTCACATGCACTTTAGACTCAACTGATAATTTGGTAATACCATTTTATAAATTGAATTTTTAACTTAATATATTGTGATCATCTTTCTTGGTCATATATATATATATATATATATATTTAATTATTTAAGTTCTGGGATACATGTTCAGGAAGTTCAGATTTGTTACACAGGTATACACGTGCCATGGTGGTTTGCTGCACCCATCACCCCATCATCCACATTAGGTATTTCCCCTAATGGTTTCCCTCTCCTAGCCCCCCAACCCCTGACAGGCCCCAATATGTTGTGTTTCCCTCCCTGATTCCATGTGTTCTCATTATTCAACATCCACTTATGAGTGAGAACATGCAGTGTTGGTTTCTGTGTTAGTTTGCTGAGAATGATGGTTTTCAGCTTCATCCATGTCCCTGCAAAGGACATGAACTCATCCTTTTTTATAGCTTATAGGATTTCATGGTGTATATGTGCCACATTTTCTTTATTATCATTGATGGGCCTTTGGGTTGATCCAAGTCTTTGCTATTGTGAACAGTGCTACAATAAACATACATGTTCATGTGTCTTTATAGTAGAATGATTTATAATCCTTTGGGTATATACCCAGTAATGGAATTGCTGGATCAAATAGTATTTCTGGTTCTAGATCCTTGAATAATTGCCACACTGTCTTCCACAATGGCTGAACTAATTTACACTCCCACCAGCAGTGTAAAAGCATTCCTATTTCTCCACATCCTCTCCAGCATCTGTTGTTTCCTGACCTTTTAATGATCGCCATTCTAACTGGTGTGAGATGGTATCTCAATGTAGTTTTGATTTGCATTTCTCTAATGACCAGTGATAATGAGCTTTTTTTTGCATGTTTGTTGGCTGCATAAATGTCTTCTTTTGAGAAGTGTCTGTTAATATCCTTCACCCACTTTTTGATGGGGTTGTTTTTTACTTGTAAATTTCTTCAAGTTCTTTGTAGATTCTGGATTTAGCCCTTTGTCAGAAGGATAGATTGCAAAAATTTTCTCCCATTCTGTAGGTTGCCTATTTACTTTGATGATAGTTTCTTTTGCCGTGCAGAAGCTCTTTAGTTTAATTAGATCCAATTTTTCAATTTTGGCTTTTGTTGCCATTACTTTTGGTGTTTTAGTAATGAAGTCTTTGCCCATGCCTATGTCCTGAATGATATTGCCTAAATTTTATTTTAGGGTTTTTATGGTTTCAGGTCTTATGTTTAAGTCTTTAATACATCTTGAGTTAATATTTGTATAAGGTGTAAAGAGTTTCAGTTTTCTGCACATGGCCAGCCAGTTTTCTCAACACCATTTATTAAATAAGGAATTCTTGCCCCATTGCTTGTTTTGTCAGGTTTGTCAAAGATCAGATGGTTGTAGATGTATGGAGTTATTTCTGAGGCCCCTGTGCTGTTCCATTGGTCTATGTCTCTATTTTGGTACCAGTACCATGCTGTTTTGATTACTGTAGCTTTATAGTATAGTTTGAAGTCAGGTAGTGTGATGCTCCAGCTTTGTTCTTTTTGGTTAGTATTGGCTTGGCTATACAGGCTCTTTTTTGGTTTCATATGAAATTTAAAGTAGTGTTTTCTAATTATACGAAGAAAGTCAATGGTAGCTTGATGGGGATAGCATTGAATTTGTAAATTACTTTGGGCAGTATGGCCATTTTCATGATATTTATTCTTCCTATCCATGAGCATGGAATGCTTTTCCCTTTGTTTGTGTTCTCTCATATTTCCTTGAGCAGTGGTTTGTAGTTCTCCTTGAAGAGGTTGGTCCTTCACATCCCTTGTAAGTTGTATTCCTAGGTATTTTATTCTCTTTGTAGTAATTGCGAATGGGAGTTCACTCATGATTTGGCTCTCTGTTTGTCTATTATTGATGTGTAGGAATGCCTGTGATTTTTGCACATTGATTTTGTATCCAGAGACTTAGCTGAAGCTGTTTATCAGCTTAAGGAGATTTTGGGCTGAGACAATGTGGTTTTCTAAATATACGATCATGTAATCTGCAAACAGAGACAAATTGACTTCCTTTCTTCCTATTTGAATACCTGTTATTTCTTTTTCTTGCCTGATTGCCCTGGCCAGAACTTCCAACACTATGTTGAATAGGAGTGGTGAGAGAGGGCATCCTTGTCTTGTGCTGGTTTTCAAAGAGAATGTTTTCAGCTTTTGCCCATTCAGTATGATATTGGCTGTGGGTTTGTCATAAATAGCTCTTACTATTTTGAGATACATTCCACCAGTACCTAGTTTATTGAGAGTTTTTTAGCATGAAGGGGTTTTAAATTTTATCAAAGGCATTTTCTGCATCTAGGAGATAATCATGTGGTTTTTGTCATTGGTTCTGTTTATGTGATGGATTATGTTTATAGATTTGCAGATGTTGAACCAGCCTTTCATCCCAGGGATTAAGCCGACTTGATCATGGTGGATTAGTCTTTTGATCTGCTGCTGGATTCAGTTTGCATGTATTTTATTGAGGATTTTTGTATCGATGCTCATCAGGGATATTATCATGAAATTTTCTTTTTTTGTTGTGTCTCTGCCAGGTTTTGGTATCAGGATGATGCTGGTGTCATAAAATTAGTTAGGGAGGATTCCCTCTTTTTCTGTTGTTTGGAATAGTTTCAGAAGGAATGGTACCAGCTCCTCTTTGTACCTCTGGTAGAATTTGGCTGTGAATCTGTGTGATCCTGGGCTTTGTTTTGATTGGTAGGCTATTAATTACTGCCTCAATTTCAGAACTTGTTATTGGTCTATTCAGGGCTTCAACTTCTTCCTGGCTTAGTCTTGGGATAGTGTATGTGTCCAGGAATTTATCTATTTCTTATAGATTTTCTAGTTTATTTCCCTAGAGATATTTATAGTATTCTCTGATGGTAGTTTGTATTCCTGTGGGATCAGTGATGATACCTCCTTTTTCATTTTTATTGTGTCTATTTGATTCTTCTCTCTTTTCTTCTATATTAGTCTGGCTAGCAGTCTATTTTGTTAATCTTTTCAAAAAACTGGCTCCTGGATTCACTGATTTTTTTGAAGTCTCTATCTCTTTCAGTTCTGCTGTGTTCTTAGTTATTTCTTGTCTTCTGCTAGCTTTGGAATTTGCTTGCTCTTGTGTCTCTAGTTCTAGTTTTGGTGTCAGGATGTCGGTTTTAGATCTTTCCTGCTTTCTCCTGTGGGCATTTAGTGCTATAAATTTCCCTATCTAAACACTGCTTTACCTGATAGTGATGGGGAAAATGGAACCAAGTTGGAAAACATTCTTCAGGATATTATTCAGGAGAGCTTCCCCAACCTAGCAATATAGGCCAACATTCAAATTCAGGAAATACAGAGAGCAGCATAAAGATACTCTTTGAGAAGAGCAACCCCAAGACACATAATCATCAGATTCATCAAGGTTGAAATGAAGGAAAAAATGTTAAGGGCAGCCAGAGAGAAAGGTTGGGTTACCCACAAAGGGAAGCCCATCTCACTAACAAACAGTGGATCCCTTGGCAGAAAACTAGAAGTCATAAGAGAGGGGGGCCAATATTCAGTATTCTTAAAGTAAAGAATTTTCAACCCAGAATTTCATATCCAGCAAAATTAAGCTTCATAAGTGAAGGAGAAATAAAATCCTTTACAGACTAGCAGATGCTGAGAGATTTTGTTACCACCAGGCCTGCCTTACAAGAGTTCCTGAAGGAAGCACTAAACATGGAAAGAAACAACCAGTATCAGCCACTGCAAAAGGATACCAAATTGTAAAGACCATTGACACTATGAAGAAACTATGTCAACTAACGGGTGAAACAACCAGTTAGCATCATAATGACAGGATTAAATTAACACATAACAGTATTAGCCTGAAATGTAAATGGGCTAAATGCCCCAATTAAAAGACACAGATGGGCAAGTTGGATAAAGAGTCAAGACCTATCAGTGTGCTGTATTCAGGAGACCCATCTCAAGTGCAAAGACACACATAGGTTCAAAATAAGGGGATGGAGGAATGTTTACCAAGCAAATGGAAAGCAAACGGTAGCAGGGGTTGCAATCCTAGTCTGATCAAACAGACTTTAAACCAACAAAGATCAAAAAAGACAAAGAAGGGTATTACATTATGGTAAAGGGATCAATGCAACAAGAAGAGCTAACTATCCTAAATATATATGTACCCAGTACAGGAGCACCCAGATTCATAAAGCAAGTTCTTAGAGACCTACAGAGAGACTTAGACTCCCACACAAAAATAATGGGAGACTTTAACACCCACTGCTAATATTAGACAAATCAACGAGACAGAAAATTAACAAGAATGTTCAGGACTTGAACTCAGCCCAGGACCAAGCTGACCTAAATTACATGTACAGAACTCTCCACCCCAAATGAACAGAATATAAATTCCTCTCAGCACCGCATTGCACTTATTCTAAATTTGACCACATAAGTGGAAGTAAAACGCTCAGTAAATGTAAAAGAATGGAAATCATAACAGTCTCTCAGACCACCATACAGTCAAATTAGATCTCAGGATTAAGAAACTCACTCAAAACTGTACAGCTACGTGGAAACTGAGTAACCTGCCCCTGAAAGACTGCTGCGTAAATACCAAAATTAAGGCAGAAATAAATAAGTTTTTTGAAACCAACGAGAACAAAGATAGAACATACCAGAATCTCTTGGACACAGCTAAAATCTTTTTATGAGATTTTATTGATGGCTTCAGCGTATTCTTATTCATGGATACACTATAATTTATTTAAATAATCCTCTATTGTTAGACATTTAGCATGTATATATATATTTGACCACACAGTGACTTGTCATTGTAGCTAAACCTTTGTCCATACCCATTTTATTTTATAAGTTTAGATTTTTACCAGTAGAATAAGCAATTGTTGCTTAAACACCAAGAAACAGAGCCATTTGTTTTTTGCTTTTTGTGTTTTTTTTTTTTTTGAGACAGAGTCACACTCTGTTGCCCAGGCTGGAGTTCCATAGTACCATCTTGACTCAGTGCAACCTCAATCTCTCAGTTCAAGCGCTTCTTCTTCCTCAGCCTCCTAAGTGGGATAACAGGTGCCTGCCACTATGCCCGGCTAAATTTTGTATTTTTAGTACAGAAGGGATTTCACCGTGTAGCTCAGACTGGTTTCAAACTCCTGACCTCAAATGATCTCCCAAAGTGCTGGGATAACAGGCGTGAGCCACCAGAGCCATTTCGTTTTTAGGAACTAGGCACGGAATGCCTACAGTATATGAAAATCTGGGTTAAAGGCCTTTCGTTGTCACAAGGAACAGCAGGAAGGGATCTGCCAACGCAAGTGTGGCTAAAATTTGTTCAGGAGCCTCACAGCACCATGATTTTCAGATAATTTTACTAAGATTTCACCTAAAGTAAAAGGAAGCATTTTACTAAGGTTTCGCCTAAAGTAAAAGGAAGCATAGAGTTAGATAAAGCAATAATGATACAGAACTTTTAACATGAGAGAGATTCCTAATATTCAAGGAAGGATATGGATTTCTTTATATTTTGGGTGCTGTATTATGTTAACATGTATGCTCATATGCTATTTCCACTTTTCTTTATGAGGAAATAATAAATAATGCATATTTCTACCATGTCTCTGTTATTAACATCTGACCACTTGGCTTATGCACCCACTGGGGGAATCCAGCCAAGATCCATGGGCAGGGGACAAGACAGAAGACAGGGCAAAGGAGAGAGGAGTGGGCTGACGGACATGTGGAAATGGAATCTCATGCTTCCTGTGAAGTCATGGCTCATATGTCTCTGAAGGCAGATAATATGTCATGTTCTACAGTTACATTTTTGAGCCAGAGGCTATATTTATTTCAGTAAACATTTTCTTGTCATTATGGCCTATGTTAGACCTTGCTTGAAGATGCAGAGCGATGCAGACAAAAGATGCAAACAGCTTCCACGCTTATCAGTGGCTTAGCCGGTGAAAAAGAAAGATGGACGCAGCAAAGTCAAGAGTTTGCTGCACAAACTAAACGGCTTGTAGGTATGTACACTTTTTTATTGATGAGATTGTGTGTTGACAGTGATAGGGAATTAGAAAGCTTATACTTTAATAAAAATAAAAAACAGCACTTGATTGTTTCAAATTCCTGTGTGTGTATGTGTGTGTGTTTCTCCAGCCATTTCAGAGAAAGGGATATTGGTCTGACATCTGTGCTGTTCTTATTAGATGTGTTAACTACATTTATGCTTTTTATTATCAGGTCGCTTTAGAATTCTGAGTGCATGGGCATATTGATCAAGGTCACATTTAATGAAGGCTCTGTCTTATGAGGTTTTGATTCTTTTAAACTTAGAGGTCATTTTCTCACTTCTAATGAGAGTAAAAATAATCCAGTGTTTGACTGCTGGCAGGTCACTTGGACCTTATTGACCAGTAAACCAGACTGCTGCTTATTCACCGGCACACCACATGTGCTTCCAGTTTGATTTGTGGAATTTAGTTTGAAAGAATTATTGTCTTTTTAATTTTTTTCATTTTTAATATGCTGTACTATTACAAGGATGAATCTAAAGTATTTCAGTGGTGTTTGTTTTCTGTTTTAGGGGATGTTCTATTGGCTACAGCTTTTCTGTCTTATTCTGGTCCATTTAACCAAGAGTTTCGTGATATTCTGTTAAATGACTGGCAGAAGGAGATGAAAGCCCGGAAAATTCCGTTTGGAAAGAATCTAAATCTCAATGAGATGTTGATTGATGCTCCTACTATTAGTGAATGGAACCTCCAAGGTCTGCCAAATGATGACCTGTCCATTCAAAATGGAATTATTGTCACAAAGGCATCTCGCTACCCTTTGTTAATTGATCCACAGACCCAAGGCAAGATCTGGATTAAAAATAAAGAAAGCCGAAATGAACTCCAGGTAATTTGTGTTTGACTATGTTTATGTTACTAGTTAAGTTTTATTGCCTCAAACCAACAAGAATCCAAGAGTAGAGAGATATTTGAAAACATTAGATTTTTTTTTTTTTTTTTTTT